CCCTCTGGGGATAGAATTCAATTGTTTATTTATTATTTATTTATTTGTTCAACTTGTATGTCGCCTTTCTCTGAAGACTCAGTTTGAAGTCTGAAGGATCTTTATGTCAAGTTTCTGGAAGTCAGTGTTGGCTTCGATGGAGTCGGGTGTAAAATGCCGTGCTTAATAAATAAGAGTTTTTTTTCAAAGACTTTGTTTGAAATGCAATTTATTTGAGACGACCTCGAAACCTGACAATCAGTTTCCCAGGCAGCCATGATAGAATATTATATTACCTATCTATACAGCCATCATGATTTGTCTCTTTCCCTTCTGAAAGGGCAGTAGTAGCCCAAACGCTTATTTTCTGATTTTTTTTTTCTTAGACATTTTCTAAGATATTTTTTTTTCCAGATATTTTCTGATAGCAAATTGCCAAGTGAATTTCTGTGGCTGAAAAATTGCTTCTTTTTTCTCACTGGAGGAGTTTCCAAGCATTGAGCTTTGTTGGTAGATTTCAAATTCTATCATTTTGTCAGGGAGAAAACTTTTCAAATCCTTTTTTTCAACACTGTTCAGATTTATATGTCATTTCCATACATTTTTTCCCCCTCTTTTTGCTAAGCTGAGAAAAAGGGACGCGGTGGCTCAGCGGCTTAAGATGCTGAGCTTGTTGATCGAAAGGTCGGCAGTTCAGTGGTTCGAATCCCTAGTGCCGCGTAACGGGGTGAGCTCCCGTTACTTGTCCCAGGTTCTGCCAACCTAGCAGTTCAAAAGCACATAAAAAATACAAGTAGAAAAATAGGGACCACCTTTGGTAGGAAGGTAACAGCGTTTCATGCGCCTTTCGTGTTTAGTCATGCCAGCAACATGACCACGGAGACGTCTTCAGACTTTAAAATCTCCATTCCCACCCCACTCCAGGGTAAGGATACTGTAAAATCTCCATTCCCTCTCCAATCTAGGGAAAGGTTACTGCAAAATCCCCATTTCCTCCCAATCATCTGGGACTCGGGAGGCAGAGAATAGATGGGGGCGGGGCCAGTCAGAATTTTTACTACCGGTTCTCCGAACTACTCAAAATTTCCGCTATCAGTTCTCCAGAACTGGTCAGAACCTGCTGAAACCCACCTCTTGACTACCTGTATTATGGCCCTTCTCTGGATATGCCCATCATTTCTGGTTTGGATATTTCTTAGGATTGGAAGAAAGAAGCTTTATTGGTCCAGTATTTATCTGGTTCTTGCCTTGATCGTTTGGATTTCTTTTGGTCTGCAGAATTAAAACAAATTATTGACAAAGTGGAAGTTTTAGAAAGCAAAATAGAAGTAATAAGTAGAAAGGTCGAGAAAGATTTGGAGAATAGAATAGAATAGAATAGAATAGAATAGAATAGAATAGAATAGAATAGAATAGAATAGAATAGAATTTTTATTGGCCAAGTGTGATTGGATACACAAGGAATTTGTCTTTGGTGCATACGCTCTCAGTGTACATAAAAAGAAAAGATACATTCGTCAAGAATCATAAGGTACAACACTTAATGATAGTCATAGGATACAAATAAATTTGGCCTTATTGGAACTGAGAGCAAAAAAAAAATTAGATTGCTCTAAAAAGATTTAGCATAATTCCAGAAGAACATGGAGAGGATATTGGAGAAAAGATTTTAAGTCTCCTTATTTCCTTGATTAGGAGGAAGATGACCTTGATACAGAGTTAGATAAGATGTTATAGGATTAATACACATTATGCAAAAATTAAGAAAAGTTCTGAGAGAAATGAGAATTATTCCTGTAAAGAAAAGAGCAATAGTAATGCCATATTTATCCTCTGTATAACCTGAGACTCCAGATGTGAGACATTACATATCGGATTGTGTAAGATTGTGAATTTTAGGGAAATAACAAGACTACAAATTGATTAGTACATTCCAGGCCAGGTCATGCTACTAACATTGGCAGGAAAGCAACTGTCATGCTAAAAACTGAGAGTGTTGTTATGATCAGGATGTAGCAACTGTTGTTGTTGTTGTTGTATACTGTCGCCCTGCCGATTTAACTTATATGCAGAGCACTTCAGGAGAAAGGCAGGGCTAGATGAATCAAAAATTGGAATTAAGATTGCCGGGAGAAATATCAACAACCTTAGATATACAGATGATACCACTCTGTCGTATCTTTTCTTTTATGTACACCGAGAGCATATGCACCAAGACAAATTCCTTGTGTGTCCAATCACACTTGGCCAATAAAAAAATTCTATTCTATTCTATTCTATTCTATTCTATTCTATTCTATTCTATTCTATTCTATTCTATTCTATTCTATTCTATTCTATTCTAATGGCAGAAAGTGAAGAGGAACTAAAGAGCCTCTTGATGTGGGTGAAGGAGGTGAGTGCAAAAGTTGGCTTGAAAATCAACATTAAGAAAACTAAGATCATGGCATCCGGCCCTCTCAATTCCTGGCAAATAGATGGGGAAGAAATGGAGGTAGCGACAGATTTTATTTTCCTGGGCTCCAAGATCACCGCAGATGGGGACTGCAGCCAAGAAATTAAAAGACGCTTACTCCTGAGGAAGAAAGGTATGGCAAACCTAAACAGCATACTAAAAAGCAGAGACATCACCCTGCCAACAAAAGTGCGTATAGTCAAGGCTATGGTTTTCCCAGTTGCAATGTATGGTTATGAAAGCTGGACCATAAGAAAGGCTGAGCGCCAAAGAATCGAGGCGTTTGAACTCTGGTGCTGGAGAAGACTCCTGCGAGTCCCTTGGACTGCAAGGCGATCAAACCGGTCAGTCCTAGAGGAGATCAACCCTGACTGCTCTTCAGAAGGCCAGATCCTGAAGAGGAAACTCAAATACTTTGGCCACCTAATGAGAAGGAAGGACTCACTGGAGAAGAGCTGAATGCTGGGAAAGATTGAGGGCAAAAGAAGAAGGGGATGTCAGAGAATGAGGTGGCTGGATGGAGTCACTGAAGCAGCAGGCGTGAGTTTAAATGGACTCCAGAGGACGGTAGAGGACAGGAAAGCCTGGAGGAACGTTGTCCATGGGGTTGCGATGGGTCGGACACGACTTCACAACTAACAACAAATTTGATATGTTTCATTGCTCTTCTGTGGCTCTACCTACATGAGCACGGAAGGCCATCTTTTGCAAAAGTTGAATAAACCTGTTTTATTGTTCACGGTGTCTCCTGTTGATTCAAACTGAGAAATATAAACCTCACAGGTTCCAAGGAGTGCCTTGTGCATTTTGTCAAGAAGAAGACAAAAGACCAAATTCTACCGCAGCATTTTAATAACAGATTGAGGATTGGTAACCCAGATGTAATTGAACTTAAGGAAATTTCGGTTAGAATATTATTTATTTATTTATTTATTTATTTATTTATTTATTTATTTATTTATTTATTTATTTTTCAAATTTCTATACCGCCTTTCTCCTTTCGGACTCAGGGTGGTGAACAGCCAAAATAAAACATTTGTACACAAAAGTTAAAATAGGTTTAAAATAATTAAATAAGGTTTGGCACATAATGTAAAACATTTCAATTAAAATCCAATATCAAAATTTTAAAAACCAACCATAAAATCAGGACAGAAAAAAATAGGTTTTAAGGGCCCGACGAAAAATCCGGAGATCTGGGATCACTCGTATCTCTGGGGGTAGATTGTTCCAGAGGGTAGGTGCCACCACAGAGAAGGCTCTCCCCCTGGGGGTCGCCAGCTGACATTGCCTGGCCGATGGCACCCTGAGGAGGCCCTCTCTGTGGGAGCGAACTGGCCGGTGGGAGGCCAGTTGCCTCTTGCTTATGCAAGAGAAAAGGTTACTTTATATGAGATAAGAAGGAGAAATATTTTTCCTTTTAAATGATGATTTAGGTTCAACTGCAGAAAGAGGAAAATGTGGTTAAAAGGTCTATGGAGATTCTCAGTCATCCAGGTCATAGTTGTCCCAAAAATGCTTTTTCAAGAGGCAACTGGACTTTCTTTTTCTTTTTTTCTTTTTGAAGATGTTTCACTTCTCATCCAAGAAGCTTCTTCAGCTCTGACTGGATGGTGGGAAATGGAAGGATTTATGACCCAACAGCAAAATTGGGATCTCTGCAGAATTACCTTATTGCATTACAGGTAATCCTCGACTCACAACAGTTCATTTAGTGACCATTCAAAGTCGCAACGGCAGCGAAAAAAGTCGTGTGATCAAAATTCAGATGTTTAGCCACTGCTTCATATGTATTATGGTTGCAGTGTCTCTGGGATTGTGTGATCCAGGGGTGAAATGCTCCCGGTTTGGACCGGATCACCCGATCCGGTAGTGATGGCGGCGGGTGGTTCGGAGAACCGGGAGCAAAACATCCCTGCCCCCTACCACCACCACCACCATGCCCAGCTGAATCACATGATCATCAGAGGCTGTTTCTTTTACTTTTAAAAGCATTTTTTTCTACAACCTCTTCCGACGAAAAAATGCTTTTAAAATTTTTTTTAAAAAAGTCTCTGATGATCGCACAGCTCAGCTGGGATCCTCAGAGGCTTTTCAAAGCGTTTTTTTTCTGCAACCTCTTAGCCAAAGAGGTGATTTAAAAAATGCTTTGAAAAGTCTCTGACGATCCCAGCTGAGTTGCCTGATCGGCAGAGGCTTTTCAAAGCATTAGAAAAAAATGCTTTGAAAAGTTTTTTTTAAAAAAAAAGTTGGCCACGCCCACCCAGTCACATTACCCCACCACCACCAAGCCCACAGAACCCCTTTTGCGACCTTCCGACAAGCAAAGTCAATGGGGAAAGTCCCTTCACCCCTCTGGTACTAACTTAACAAAATGCTGCGATTCACTTAACAACCGTGGCAGGAAAAATCGTAAAACGGGACAAACTCACTTTAACAACATCAACGTCGTTTTACTCGGCAACATAAATTTGTACGCTTCTCCACAAGATAAATGTATGTTTCATCTAGCAACATAAATTTGGGGGGGGGCTCCAGCATGGTCGTAACTCGAGGACTAGCCGTAATTGAAAGAAAATGCCAGGGTTGATTCTCCCCTCCCTCTGTTTGCAGAGGAGGCTCCGCCCTTCAAAGGGTTAAAGGCAGACGAGACACTGCCTAGAGAGGACGGAAGTCGGTGGAGGAAAAGTGTGAAACAGGCTTCCTACCGGAAGATTCAATTGCTGGCCTGCTGCCAATCAAAGGGGCTTTGCTCTCCCTGAATCTGTCTTGGGGGGGGGTTTCCTCTTTTGGGGACTAGATGACCTCCCATCCCTGCCGTGTCCCTTTGCAATGAAGGGAGCTGCAGGGGAGCAGCAAGAGGCAGGACTGATGTTTAGGGAGAGATGCCAGAAAGCAGGAGAAGAAGCCCTGGATGGAAATTGATCCAAGAGAGAAGCAACCTGGAATTAAGGAGAAACTTCCTAACAGTGAAGACAATTAACCAGTGGAACAGCTTGCCACCAGACGTTGTGGTTGCTCCAACACTGGAGGTTTTCAAGAAGAGATTGGACAACCAATTTCATCCCTGGAGAGGTTTCTTTAAAAAAAAAGTCTGGAACAGCCACCTATCTAAAATGGTATAAGGTCTCCTGCTTGAGCAGAGGGTTGGACTAGAAGATCTCCAAGGCCCCTTCCAACTCTATTCTGATCGATCGATTGAACCATTTGCCTGGAATGGTACAGTGTTACTAATAAAGGAGAATATTTGTAGCTCCGGGTTTGACATGAGGGGCGGGGGGTCCTCGGTGCTCTCTGAGCTTGCTTGATTTCTTGCAGACATTTTATTACCCAACTAGGTAACATCATCAGTGCTAGGAGGGAGTGGAGTTTGCTCTCAGTTTCTATTCCGGTGGCTTGCCCTGCCTGTGTTGGTGGGGGGGCCATCTTAGAGGTTCTTTGGTTGGGTCCTGTACTGTTGGCTCTTTGGCAGTTTCTTGACCGGGGTATTGCTTACTTGATAGTTGATCTGAAGTTAACCTTGGAGTTAATCTATGCTGGTCTGGATGCTGATTGCTGGTGAAGAGGTGCTGGAGTCTTTTTGTTCTTGGCTGGGTAATGGTATAGTGTAGTGTCTCCTGCTTGATCAGGGGGTTGGACTAGAAGACCTCCGGGGTCCCTTCCAACTATAATGATGATGATGATTAAACAGAGTGAAGACAATCAAAGAAGTCCCCCATTTTCTGGAAGGGTCACTGACTGACCTCTTGTGTTCACACACACACACACACACACACAGAGTGTGTGAGAGAGAGAGAGAGAGCCTGAGTGGCGTAGGAGGCTAATGCCTCCTACTAAGGCAGCATTTAACATCCAGCTGCCTGCAATTACTGCGAGTTCAATTCTCACCAAGTTCAAGATCGACTCAGCCCTTCATCCTTTCTAAGGTGGGTAAAATGAGGACCCGGTTTGTGGGGGCAATAAGCTGACTTTGTATAAAATATACAAAAGTATGAAGGCTATTGCTTAACACATTGTAAGCTGCCCTGAGTCTCCGGAGAAGGGCGGCATATAAAAATAAATAAAAATAAAAAATAAAAAATAAAATAAAGAGAGAGAGAGAGAGAGAGAGAGAGAGAGACAGTAGAAGACCCCAAGGTCCATTCAAACTCTGATGATGGTGAAAGCAAGAAGCCCTTTTGTAGTTTTAAGAGATTTTCAGTTCTTTCAGCATAATTATTCACCTGACCGACTGTCCTTGCAGGTTTGACACTTCGGGTTTGGAGGAGGGTGGGCTTATTGAGAGCTTGTGAGAGTTGGGGTGAGCTTCCAGCATTACGAATAAATAAAAATGGGTGCTCTTCGTAGTTGTTGCTCCTTTTCCATTCCGCTAATGTGAGAGTGGAAGAATATTTTTTTTGATTTCTTGAAGCAGCTGTGCTCGTTTCTTTCTAGAAATGGACGGATGAACAGAAAGCCGGGTGGGTAAGAGAGTGAAAAGGCTCTATGGTCAGGCAAAGGGAGATGGCAGGCAGAGAAAGCGGTTTGGGCACGTCCTGAACAGACAACAGACGTTAATTGTGTTGTTGAACACAAATGCACTTCCTAGAAAGAACTGTGTTTTAGGGACTCCTGTTTCCATCTTTGGCTTGGCACCCAAGCCTTTCAATTCAAAGATAAAAGAGTGCATGTTGCTTGTCAGTCTGCAGACTTCTTTTTGCCTTAACACTACACGCCAAGGTTGGCATTGCACTCTGTTAAGGCCAAATTGGAAAGAAATAGAGTTCCTTCGGGCTTGCTAGAGGTTCTCCTGGGGCATAAAAAAACAAGATGGAGGAACAAGGCTCAGCTGGTCCTGAAGGAAAAGAAGGCCGCGATCCCACCCTGTCCGAGAGCAGTGAAGAATGTTGGAAAAAAAGAGTGCAGGAGATTTTGGAGAAAGACCCAGAGGTTCATCGCCAGCGTTTCAGGGACTTCTGCTACCGGGAGGCGGAAGGTCCCAGAGAGATTTGCAGTCATCTCCACCATCTTTCCCAGCAGTGGCTTCAACCGGAGAGACACACCAAGAGCCAGATGCTGGATCTGGTGATCCTGGAGCAACTGCTGGCCATCCTGCCGGTGGAGATGTCCAGCTGGGTGAGGGAATGCGGAGCAGAGAACAGCTCCCAAGCGGTGGCCCTGGCCGAAGGCTTCCTCCTGAGTCAGATGGAGCAGAAGAAGCTGGAGGAGCAGCAACAGGTAAGAGGCCAGCCTCATGACGGCTTCAAAGGGCCACGTATCATCCAGTAGGGGGAAGCTCAAAACTATAGGGAGTCCTTGGCTTACGACTACAGTTTTTGAGCCCAACATTTCTGTTGCTAAGTGAGACAGTTGTTAAGTGAGTTTTGCCCAATTTGGCAACCTTCCTTGCCACAGTTGTTAAATGAATCAGTGCAATTGTTCACTTATAACACGGTTGTGAAGTGAACTGTGTCAAGTTTCCGAAAGATGCCCTAATTAATTCATGAGCCATGATCCAAACTTCAAAGGAAATATAGTTAGGAGCACCATTCTGGCAATACTCAGATGCAGTCAGGATTGACCCCACGTAGATTTACATTCCCCTATGACCATGTCTCTCCCCTCCCCCCTGGCCATGTCATAAATCACATTCTCCAATTAACCACTTTGGCTGGCTGTGAAACCTAACACCCTCCTTCTGATTGCGGTCAGAAAGAATGTATGGAATTCACTTCAGTTCTCCCTCCCTCCTGCTCATGGCAACTTGAAAGCTTTGCAAGTTGACAAACTGTGTGTCAGGGTTCCAAGTAACAACCCCAGCGAAATCAAACTCCCAAGGCTTGAGCTTCCTCAAAGCTGATTTTTTATTAGAGATGTCATATTGGCACATCTTGGAAAACCCGAATCTGAGAGCTTCCGGGTTTTCCTCACCCAAAAGAAAGTTCAAGTCCTTGCCCTTCACCCACATGTCCATCACACGAACCAATCAGGTACCTTCCGGAACAGAAGATACTTCCTCATTCTTCTCAGCACAGCTGCAGGGCACAACAGGCCTTGACTTTCTAGAAAGAATGTTATTTTGACTACATATCATCTTCACTCCATACAATCCCCCCCTCCCATTTTCCCACAGTAGAATTTGTGGCAGGCCTGAAGGCTCAAAGGTGAAAAGATGGCTTCCAGGTCTGACAACCTGCTTCCCCATTGACTTTGCTTGTCAGAAGGTCATAAACGTGGATCACATGATCCCGGGACACTGCAACCGTCATAACTTTGAGTCAGTTACCAAGTGTCTGAATTTTGATTACGTGATCATATGGATGCTACAATGGTCATGAGTATGAGAAACGGTCATAAGTAACTTTTTTTCAGTGCCGTTGTAACTTTAAAAGAACGGTTGTTAAGTAGAGGATTCCCTGTATTTGCCTGTCTCATTCTTTTTTCCAATCCTGCTCCCATTTCTACGTCGTTGATCTTTGTTGCCATTTCAGATAAATCACTTCTTTATAAAAATGGATTACTATTTCCCTGCAACAGAGGAGGTCCTGCTGGACACTGTAGTAGGAAATCCTTTTCAAACAGGGATCCTGCAAGAAGATGTCAGAGGAATCACATTGCAAGGTAAGAATTTGTGACAGTGTTGTCTATTTCAGTTAGGTCTTCCCGGCCCATACCAGAAATGCTGGTCTACTCTTTTTGTTCCCTGGATCTTCGGGTTAGAAAAACAAGCTTGTTTTACCTTATTCTCAAATGCTCTTATGTTAAGGTAAAGGTAAAAATTCCCCTCGCACTTATGTGCTATTCGTTCCCGACTCTAGGGGGCAGTGCTCATCTCCGTTTCAAAGCCAAAGAGCCAGCGCTGTCCGAAGGCGTCTCCGTGGTCATGTGGCCGGCATGATTAAACACCAAAGGCGCACGGAACGCTGTTACCTTCCCACCAAAGGTGGTCCCTATTTTTCTACGTGTATTTTTTACCTGCTTTCGAACTGCTAGGTTGGCAGAAGCTAGGACAAGTAATGGGAGCTCACCCTGTTACGTGGCACTAGGGACTCGAACCGCTGAACTGCCGACCTTTTGATCGACAAGCTCAGCGTTTTAGCCACTGAGTCACCGTGTCCCTTCTTATGTTAAAGATGATGAATATTGTTATCAAATTAATTGATTTGAGGGGAAGGGGGCTTGGGAGGAAAAAAAAAATGGGATTCCAACATCTTTTCAACACCGTTTTAATTTTTAACTCTTTTAAGACTGGTATCTTTAGAGTGTCTATGGAGATTCTCAAGTCATCCCAGGTCATGGTAGTCCCAGAGGTGCTTTTTTTCAAGAGGCAACTGGACTTTCTGGTTTTTCTTTGAAGACGTTTCTCTTCTCATCCAAGAAGCTTCTTCAGATCTGACTAGATGGTGGGGAATGGACCAGCTGTCTGCAAGGAGTATAAATCCTTCCATTCCCCATCATCCGGTCAGAACTGAAGAAGCTTCTTGGATGAGAAGCGAAACGTCTTCAAGGAAAAGCAAAGAAAATCCAGTTGCGTCTTGAAAAAGCACCTTTGGGTATCTTTAGAGGTTTTTCTAATGTTTAAATAAATGATAAGTATTCCTGTGATACCTACGGGGATTCGAAATATTTATTTATTGTTTACTTAGAAATAAACCCCAGTGTACCTAAGAGACTTACTTCTCTGTAAGGACGCTTAGCGCCATAACTTCGCATTTCTGAGACGAGCAAATGCTTCAGCCTTTCCACCATCTTGTCTCTTTGTAGGGGACGAATTGATGCTGGCAAACAGTATAGAGCCCTCTGTTTTTCTCTGCGGTGAAATAGAAACCGTGGTTGACCCAGATCAGGTAGAAGGAAGGATTTTATTTGTTTGCTTGCTTGTTTGTTTGTTTCTATTATTTATTTAGACGATTCAAACTCAAAAGGCGCCCAGTTTACCACCTTTTTTTTTTGTCACGGTCGTTAAACAAATCACTGCAGTTGTTAAACGAAGCACGCAGTCGTTCAGTGAATCTAGCTTCCCCCATTGACTTTGCTTCTCGGAAGCCAGTTGGGGAGAATGATTATAAGTGAAAAACTTCCTCTAAATTGCATCCTGGACATAAACTGTTTCAACTTCTACCCTCAAAATGGCGCTATAGGGCCGTGAGGTGGCACACAGAACCCTCTCTGTGGGCCTGCGTGCCATTGCCAGCTGCTCTTTTGGTTTCTGGCCCGCACGTGCACACTGGCCAGCTGGTCTTCGTGGGCACCGGAGCACCAGAGAATGGCCTGAAAAGGGCCTGAAAAACAGCCCCCCAAAAAGGCTGTTTTTCTGGCTGTTTTCAGGCTGTTTTTCTAGCCATTTTCAGGCCATTGAGTCTTCGGAGAAAGGCGACATACAAGTTGAACAAATAAATAAATAAATTTTCTGGGCTGTTTTTTGGGCCATTTTCAGGCCGTTTTTTGGTGATTTTCAGGCCAGTTTTCAGGCAGTTTTGAGGCTTGAAAACGGTCAAAAAAACCGGCCAAAAAGCAGGCATCATGGGGCAGCCAGCTGGTTTTCAGGTTTCCAACGCTCTGGGCACTCAGTGCCGAAAAGGTTCACCATCCCTGCTATAGGCCATTGCACAACAGAACAATTAGACACAAGGACAGTTTTTTCCCCCATGCCATCACCCTGCTAAACAACTAATTCCCACAACACGGTCAAACTATCTAGTATTATTCTTCTCATCTTTCCTATTACCTATCTCCTTATCTTCTTATGACTATAACTTTGTTGCTTGTATCTTACGATTGATACTGTTTTATTTAGTATCGTAGTATGATTTATGTTGATTGCTTATTTAATTCTATAATTATCACTAAGTATTGTATCCTATGATTTATGATGAATGTATTTTTACGATGACTATGATCATGATTTATCACTTATTGCTTGTATGTCCAGTAAGAGCTTATGCACAGGAGACAAATTCCTTGTGTGTCCAATCACACTTGCCTAATAAAGAATTCTATATATTCTATATATATATTCTGCCATTGGCTATTGATTATTTGCGCAGTAAGAAGAAATAGCACATTTAGTGTGATTATATGCACGGCGTATATTATGATGGTCCTTTTTTTTTTTCTTTTCCAATCAGGATCTGGCCACTATTGAAGAGCTGGCTGTTTATTTCACAGAGGAAGAGTGGGTTCTGTTGGATCCTGACCAGAAAGCTCTCTATAAGCAAATCATGGAAGAGAATTTTGAAATCGTGACTTCTCTCAGTAAGATTCCCTCCTTCCTTCATTGGTGGATAATCATAAAGTTAGCATTTTAGGACCGGTTCTTTTAACAGATGTATATAGATAGAGTGCACTGCATAATATCAAATAGTGTTGGTCTAGCACAGGGGTCTCCAAACTTGGCAACCTTACGACTTGTGGACTTCAATTCCCAGAATTCCTCAGCCAGCCATTTGTGTAATATATGTATATTCTCACAGGTCTGTTCAGTTCCCAGGTGCCTCATCCTGTGTCAAGTGGAAGTTTCCGGGCCAAAAGTCATTGATAACCCTACATAAAGCCATGTGTAATTAAAGTCAGTTTGATGTAGTGATGGAAGGTGCTGGCTTAGAAACCTGGAGACTGTGAGTTCTAGTCCCACTTTACCTATGAAAGCGATCTGGGTAACGTTGAGCCAGTCACTCACCTCACCTCACTTCACAAGGTTGATGTGATGGGGAAAACAGGAGAAAGAATGAGCTCACCTCACCTCACAGGGTTTTTGTGATGAGGAAAATAGGAGAAGGAAGAAGTATTAGGTATGCTTGCTGCCTTGAGTTATTTATAAGGTAATAAAGATGGAATAAAACTCTAATAAATAAAATGGCTCAGTAAATTTCTCAATCTCTTCTCAATAAGTCGTCCAATCAATCTCTATGTTTATTATTATTATGTTTGTTTATGTTTATTATATTTGTATACCGCCCTTCTCCCGAAGGACTCAGGGCGGTGAACAGCCATGGTAAAAACAATGTACAACAAAAATTAAAAGCTTATTAAAATAATTAAATCATTCGGCCAAATTTAAAACATCCAACTAAGATCATTTTAAAACCCCTATCAAAACCCAATTTAAAAACCTTTATCCTGTCAGTCCAGCTTGCTGGAATAATAGGGTCTTCAGAACGCGACGGAAGGCACGGACGTCGGGGATCCTTCGTATGTCCGGGGGCAGTTCATTCCATAGGGCCGGGGCCCCCACAGAGAAGGCTCTCCCCCCTGGGGGTCGCCAGCCTACACTGTTTTAGCTTAAACTCTAAATTTCTTCTCTTTGTTCCAGGACATGACCAATATAAAGTGAAAGAAAACCCGACGGGGACAAAACCATACATGTGTTTGGAGTGCGGAAAAAGTTTCGGTTATAAAATCAATCTTACCTCTCATCAAAGAATTCACACAGGGGAAAAACCCTACAAATGCCTGGAGTGTGGAAAATGCTTCAGCCAGAGTTCCAGCCTCATCAAGCACAAACGAATTCACACAGGCGAGAAACCCTACGTATGCCTCGAGTGCGGAAGGCGCTTCAGCCAGAGTTCCAGCCTCACGAAGCACAAACGAATTCACACTGGCGAGAAACCGTACACATGCTTAGAATGCGGCAGGAGCTTCGGGAAGAAGATAAATCTCACGTCCCATCAGAGAATTCACACCGGGGAGAAACCCTACCAGTGCTCGGAATGCGGGAAGACTTTTAGTCACAAAATCAATCTCATTTCTCATCGGAGAATTCACACCGGAGAGAAACCCTATCGATGTCGGGAGTGCGGGAAGTGTTTTAGCCAGAATACGGGCCTGACGAAACATCAGAGGACACACACGGGCGAGAAGCCTTATAAGTGCTTAGAATGCGGGAAGACATTTGGTCAGAAGACGAATCTCACCACTCACCAAAGAATTCACACAGGGGAGAAGCCGTACGTGTGTTTGGCGTGTGGGAAGAGCTTCAGTTACCGGACTGCTCTGACTTACCACGAAGGAACCCACACTGAGGGGAAGCCATATAAATGCTTAGAATGCGGAAAGAGCTTCACTCAGAAAATTCTACTTGTGAAGCATTACGGGACTCATTCAGAAGAGAAAATGTTCCCCTATTTGGAATGTGACAATCCAACTACGTATCTCGCTGCGCACCAACACATCTTCAAAAAGCCGAAACTTCACCAGTGTCTGCAGTGCGGGAAAACTTTTAGTCGGAGCACGGGGCTCCGGAATCACCAACTCCTCCATGAAGGCGGGAAGGAGTGCGCTTGTTTGGTCTGTGGAAAAAGCTTTGGTCACAAGCTCATCCTCAATTGTCACGAAAGGATCCACACCGGGGAGAAACCGTACAAGTGTTTGGAATGCGGCAAAAGCTTTAATCATAAGAAAAACCTCTCGAGGCACCACCGAATCCACACCGGGGAGAAACCGTACAGGTGCTCAGAATGTGGGAAGTGTTTCAGTCAGAAAATAGACCTCACCAAACATCAAAGAATTCACACCGGAGAGAAACCATATAAATGCTCGGAGTGCGGGAAGAGTTTCAGCCAGCGTACCAACCTTTTCCAACATCAGAGCATTCACACAGGGGAAAAATACACCTGCTTAGAATGTGGGAAAAGTTTCAGTCATAAGAAAAACCTGACCAGACATCAAAAAAATGCACACAAGGTAGAGATATTATAAATGACAGGCGAGTGTCAATAAACGTTGGTAGGAAAGAAAATCGCTCATCAATCAACTTACATGAGGGAGAAACCCATATAAATTATTTGTTTGGAATTCATTCAGATTAAAGTTTGATTCTCAGGCAAAAGTCAGGAGGAAGCATGCGACCACGGGAAAAATCCCACAGCAATTGGTAATCTCTCATACCACCGTTGATTTTTATTGCATTTTGGTATTGTTAATTTTTATTGTCTTGTTGTTCATTCATTTGTCCGCATTTTTGCAAACTGTCATTCATGTAAGGATAATTGACTTCTTTGGATAGCAGATTCTATACTTTCAATATAGACTAAGAATACCTGGTTATTATCTTTGAGTCCAGAAAAAGATCTCACTTTTCATTTTTTCCACGACCCTGTGATATTCTCATTTGTCTATTTCCTAAACCTCTTTTTTAATCTTGGCAACTTCAAAGATGTATGGACTTCAACTCACAGAATTCCCTAGCCGGCTGGGGAATTCTGGGAGTTGAAGTCCACCCACCTTAAAATTGAAAACTAAAATATTCTGACTTTTTCTCCTCAGGAAAGTGAACTTTAAAGGAGGAAGGCGTTTGAAAAAAGGTGCTATAGAAACCTACAAAGCAATCAGTTTTTTAAAAAAATTAAACTATTATGAATACATAAAGTGAAGAATTGAGACAATGTGCATAGTAAGTCTTTTTAGGGTGTGTGTGTGTGTGTGTGTGTGTGTGTGTGTGTGTAACACACACATTCCTCAGTACCTCAGTGTGTATCTTTAGAAGAATGTGGAAGAGAACAGATTTATCTCTGTCAAATTGTCCTTCATTGGAAATCTAATTTAAACTGTTGAAAAATGTTTACAATCATTTTTTAGAAAAATTGACATTTCAATTAAGGAAAGACAGTGTACATATGAAGCACATACGCATGTACACACAAGTATACACATCTACAACTTTTGACAATAGTTGACATGTACTACTGTAGTTTATGGTATTTTCATTAGAACTGCATTTTTTTTCTTTATCACATCCATAATCTTTCATTACTTTCCCTCTCACTTCTGTTCTTTAGAACTTTTTGGGTCATCTCCTTATAATCTTTCTAACATGCAGCAAAAGTTTTAATCACAGGTCAATTTAATTGTCACTTGTTTTAATATATATATATATATATATATATTTGTATGGTGCTCTTTGCTATTGTATTTGTATGTGATACAGTTGGTTGTAGACCATCCTGATGTTCCCCAAAAGAATGAAGGAGAACATCTGTCATTTTAAATAATAAATATGTTTGAGACTTTTTTTTCCTTTTAAGTGATTCTGAGAAAATAAATATCCAAGAAAGGATTTGGTAAAAAAATAGCTGAATGCTGGCTGATGGAGACATTTGAAGGTAAAAAATCCAGACGTGGGATATTTTCCCTAAGCCTTGCAAAAGAAAATTGTCAGACCTGCCTCAGCTTGAACCTCTAAGTGAGAACGATCCGTCAGGGCTGCCTGGACTCCACAGTGGAAAATATTAAATTGAAAATGAATCCAGCAATAGAGAGAGATGAAGGAGGAGAAGAGAGGTGGAAGGGAGGAAGAAGGAGAGAGAGGGATGGAAGAGTAGGGAGGAAGGAAGGGAAGGGAAGGGAAATTAGAGTAGGGGAGAGAAGGTAAGACGGGGGAAGAGAGAAGGAGAAGGAGAAGTAGAGAAGAGAAAAAGAGGATGGGGAAAGAAAGTAGGAAGGGATAGAGAAGAGGGAGAGGGTAGGTTTGAGGAGAAAGATTGCTGTAGAGTAAAAAAGATGAACTGGAAGAAAGGCAACGCCGAACAAACAAATATAAATATATTAAGATAAAGAATGAACTGTTTAAGAATAAAAGAGAATAAATATGAATAAACAGTAAAGTTAGAATTTAGGGACAAATGAAGATGGTGTTCATGTATGCAAGTATAGAAATATTGAGATGTTTTTTAAAAAAGGGGGGGAAGACGATTTTGGCAAGAATTGTAATTGAGTAAAATGTATTTGAATTTGATTAATTGTATAAGATAAGAAACGGCCAACACTCTGTTCAAAAAAAAAAAGATGTGGGTGAATGTGGGAGAGGAGAAAAAACCAATAAACTTGTTTTAAAAAAATAAATAAGTAAGAATGATCCTTAATTCCATTTGTTGAAAAAGGTACGGTTTACTAGAAGTCAAGTGAATTACAGTAATGCACTTGACTTCTAGTAAACTCTACTTTTCTCAACAAGTGGAGTTAAGGCTCGTTCTTACTTAGAGGTTCAAGCTGAGGCAGGTCTGACAAAAGTAAAATTTTACACTGAAGTCTGCAACTTTTGAAACTCCTCTCTGAATCGTAGTGAGCAAAGTCAAAATTGTGGGTGGTTGTGGTACTTCGAGGAACTGAGTTAATGTACTTCTGGACGGTGAAGGACTCAAGCCTGCAATTAAATTCGATTTATGTCCCAAAGTGATTTTTCAAAAGGCAACTGGACTTCCTTAGTTTTTGCTTGAAGACTTTTCGCTTCTCATCCAAGAAGCTTCTTCAATACGATACAGAATGATCATTCAGAACTGAAGAAGCTTCTTGGACGAGAAGCAAAACGTCTTCAAGGAAAAACCAAGAAAGTCCACTTGTCTTTTGGAAAAGCACCTTTGGGACAACCATTACCTGGATGACTGGGGAGCCCCATAGACAAACCAATCTATGCTCCCCCAAAGCAGATGTGGTTATGTTGGCTGTGCAGTTACATCACCGTGGTGCAAAATGAAGCAAGGTAATACAACCACCATCATACTGTAGGAAGAAATATCCTTCTGGGTTCAGCTCCAAGTGGGGAAAAAGACACTGGAAACATGGAGACTGCTTGGAAAGATGGTTTAATGCTGGACAGGATCACATGGTTTGAGTTCCTGAACAGAAAAGGGGGGAGATGCTGCGAGTCCCTGGGTTTTATGCCCTCTCTGGCTTTGAACTTCCTGGGGCCCAGAAAGAGTATCCTGATTGGTTGTCAGACTCCCAGGGGGTGGGGGTCTTAGCTAGCCTTGCTGGCTGATGCAATCTTCCCAGGTACCATGTGGTGAGTTTCTGTTGCTAGATGGATCCTATTGTGTTGCAGATGATGGTCCATTGACAAAGATTGAGTTTCTGCCTCTGGCCCATTAACAAAAGGGTGGGGGCAGGAAGATGGGAGCTGCTTCGTCTTTAAAACATGCTTCTCCATTTCTCATCCAGGGAAACATAATATTCTGCCTTTTTAATATTTCCCAAAATATTTCATTCCTCTAGGAAATATTTCATTCCTCTAGGAAAGACAGCTTGGCTGTCTCAGGAATTCTGGGAGTGGAAGTCCACAGGTTGTAAAAGGGCCACAGTTGCCCACCCCTGCGGTAGTTGGTGCTTTTTTTTTTTTTTTAAATCCTCCCTGCTACGTGCCCAAATGAAACGGATCTCAAGTAATGAATGAAATCCAGGTAGTCCTCGACTTGCAACAGCTCATTTAGTGACTGTTCAAAGTTACGACGCCAGGCCCTGAAAAATGGGATTTAGGACCGTTTTTTCACCAGTACAACCTTTGCAGCATCCCTAGGGCGACACAATCAAAATTCAGACGCTTGGCACCTGGTTTGTACTTACGACCGCTGCTGTGTCCCCCGGGGGGGGGGGGGTCATGTGATCCCCTTCTGCGACCTTCTCACAAGCAAAGTCGGTGGTGAGGAACCCGGATTCACTGAACAACCGGCTGACTTGACTGATCAATGCAGCAATTATTTTAACAGCCGGGGCAAGTGAGGTCGTAAAATGGGACAAAACCTTCTTAACAAATGTTAGCACTTAGCAACAGAAATGTTAGGCTCAATTGTGTCGTAAATTGAGGACTATGGGAATTCCAAGTAGAGTTAAACTATTATGGAGCGAAAAGGGAGAAGAACACACCTTTTTCTTCTCTTTATCCTCCAATCTAAAATCTCCCCTCCCTTCCTTAGCTTGACTTGCGCTCCTCTCCAGGATCGGCCTCATGGCTTCTCCCTACCCCAGTGTTTCCCAAACTTGGGAACTTTAAGCAGTGTGGACTTCAACTCCCAGAATTCCCCATCCAGCATGGCTGGCTGTGGGATTTTGGGAGTTGAAGTCCATACATCTTGAAGTTCCCAAGTTTGAGAAACACTGCGCCTACCCTATGGGGGAATCCCTAAGGAGCAGAATTGTAAGAAGGGGAGGGGGGGGGAATTCCCCTGGGAAAGCCTTTGGGGAAATCCCTTCCTCTCTAGGAATCATCTATGGTTCCTTAACCCTTGGAAGGCCAAGCAGCTGGTTTTTAGCTCTGGAGCGTCCAAGCACAGCCTGGACGGCACAAAGAGAGTGGGAAGAGCCGGTGGTATTGTAAGAAGTTAGCACCCCTTCCTACTAAGGAAGTTGCCCACCCCTGAACTACCGTATTGTCACAGAGACGCCCTGAACGGGTTAAATACATCGAGTTGTACTCTCCTAGAGGGGACAAAGGTGAGGCTCACCCTCCTCGCTTTCCCTTCGCTTGGAGGGGGGAAGGGGAAAAAAGTACCGGAAGTGCCGTGCAGAAGAAGGGGTGAAGCCACTTCCGGTGCCCTTTCTCCCCACCTCTTCCTGGTGGGAAATCTCATTTTTGAATACAAGTGCTGAATCTTCGCCCGTGGAAGCGTCTCCTCCGGCTTAGAGGGCGGAGGCATTGCATTGCATTGCAGGGAGAAGTGAGTTGCTGGCAACGGGGGGGGATGTTTTGGCTGGAGGAGAACAAGAAATAGTCCAAGAGAGGCTACAAAAGAAAAGGAGAGAAAAGGCTGCTGGGGTTGGACCGGGAAGGAGCATTCCCGGGAGGAGTGGGAGCAGGGCGATCTAGGAAAGTTATGCATTCTTTGCAACAGAAACTTTATGGTAGTCTGCAGCTGGATCTGGAGGTTCTTTTAGGTCGGGGATCGTGTTAGCGCAACTGCCTTGCATTTTACAGACGTATTGATTTGCCCTTGGTAGCCAGTCTCTTGATTTGGGTTACCTTAAGAATAGTATTTGGATTTTTTTTTTTTATTATTGATGTGTGCCATTAAGTCTCACAGGGGTAGATTTTCACCATCATTTTTTTTTTTTTAATTTTGATTTATATGCCGCCCTTCTCCGGAGACTCAGGGCGGCTTACAATGCGTTAAGCAATAGCCTTCATTCTTTTGTATATTTATACAAAGTCAGCTTATTGCCCCCCACAAACTGGGTCCTCAATTTACCTACCTTAGAAAGGATGGAAGGCTGAGTCAACCTTGAGCCTTGGAGAGATTCGAACCAGCAGTAATTGCAGGCATCTGGTCTTAATAACCAGCTTAATAACAGGGTGCCTTAGACCACTGTACTACCAAGGCTCTTGATCATGATCTATCCCTACAATGACTGTGTTTTCTTTGGGGGTGGGGGATGGGATAAAGGACAATTCTGAACAGGGGGCAAATCGAAAAGATTTAAAAAAAAAAAAAGTATTTACAAGTTTGTTTTGCAGAGGAAAATTCAAAAGCAAAGCCAGGGGAAAAAAAATAAACAAATCTAAGGGATAGCTTTCTGAAATAATGAATTATCCTTTATAATAAAGGACATATGATCACTGTATCGACCCTGTTTTCCCCAAAATAAGACATCCCCTGATAATAAGCCCAATCGGGCTTTTGAGCACATGGCAATAAGGCCAAGCTCTTATTTCAGGGTTCAGAAAAATATAAGACATGGTCTTATTTTCCGAGATCCCTAGATAGATAGAGTGATAGATAGATAGACAGTTTTTTTTCAGGTCTTCCAACAGTACCCCCATCACCATTTTTATTTATTTATTTATCAAATTTCTATACTGCCCTACTCCCGAAGGACTCAGGTGAACAGCCAAGATAAAATACAGATAATACAAACATTAAAAATCCATTAAAATTATTAAATATTTTGGCCGAAAACAAATTTAAAACACCCAATTTATAAAACAAATTAAACGATTTAAAAATTTAAAAGGGAGAGTTAGGCCAGGCCAGCCTGCTGAAATAAAAATGTTTTGAGAGCACGACGAAACGTGTGCAGGGATCCTCCGTATCTCCGGGGGGACCTCGTTCCAGATGGTAGGTGCCCCCACAGAGAAGGCTCTCCCCCTGGGGGCCACCAGTTGACACTGTTTGGCTGACGGCACCCTGAGAAGCCCCTCTCTATGGGAGCGTACTGGTCGGTGAGAGGCTATTGATAGCAGAAGGCGGTCTCGTAAATACCCCGGTCCGATGCCATAGAGTGCTCTAAAGGTGGTAACCAAAACCTTGAAGCGCACCCGGAAGACCACCGGGAGCCAGTGCAGCTCGTGCAGGAGGGGGTTCACATGGGAGCGCCACGCCGCTCCCATAACCACCCGCACGGCCGCATTTAATCAAGTCCATCCTCCTTGCTGTTAGCCGTCCTCTTATTCTCTTTCCTTCCACTTTTCCTAGCATCTGAGTCTTCACAAGAGACCAAGGGTCTTTACATGTGTCCAAAGTAGTTTAACCCTAGTTATTTGTGTCTTAAGTGAAAACTCTGGATTAATTTGTTCTGTGCTGCATTGGTTTGTTTTCCTGACTGTCCACGGTAGTCTTCTCAAATACATGTTTAAGGTATCTGAACATAGATTAATCACCATATAAAGGTCATGTGTTAGAATTTTTGGTCACATTCATTACATTAAACATTTATTTCATCACACAGAGCAATAGGAGATGGCACCTAGCACCTAGCGAACACTGCCTTATAGGTCAAAGAAAAGAAAAAAAAAAACCCTTACCATTGCCTCACTATCAAACTAAGATGAAATGGGAAGAGTTCAGAGCCTTTGAGAAATAATACTCATGATTTATGTTCCTGCTTTTTTTTTGCCATTAGTAAATCACTTACCGCCTGCAATTTGGACTGGCAACTCCATTGCTAAGCAATGCAATCGTATAGTGAAACATTACATGAACTCACTCAGCTTACAAGGTCAGTTCCAAATGCGGCCATTAAGTGAATCACCCACAGTCATTAAACAGATTGACACATAACCGTGACTAGCGACTTCCTACGGCTTCCCCAGTGGCTTGTCGGAAGCCAATTGGGAAGGTTACAAATAGTGATCACATGACCGCAGAATGTTGTAACTATCATAAATGCATGCTGTGTGCCCAAATCGTGATCATGTGACGGCAGGGACTGGTCATAAAATGAGCCGTTGGTAAGCAAGGACTCTGTAGACTCCATGATTGAAAACATCTCTTCTTCCCCATGCAGGTTGATTAGAGAACCTCCTGTTATTCCCCAGCCAGGTGATCTAGGCCACCTTCAAAAGAAGTGTTGAGAGACTAGAAGACAAGACAGTTGGAAGAAAAGAACGGCATCCTGTTTTCCCCCCCGATGGATGAGCAGGAGGCCACAGGACCTAGTGCTTGGGAAAGAATGGAGAGTCTTCCCAAAGCCCCATTGGTTGCACAGATGAGTGGCTCTGAAGAGTTTCTGATGGAGGCACCACCACATCATGTGAAGCAGGAACCCACCGAGGGTTTGCAAGATCTCTGGGAGAACCAGTGGCAGGAGTTCCTCAGGACCCTGCAGGCACCAGACCTGGAGTGGGGGACTTCTCAGATGTCTGATCGGCTCACTCCCTGGGACGATGCCAGAACCTTCCTGGCCTCCTTTGAACAAGTCGCAACCGTTTGCCGATGGCCTCGGGATAAGTGGGTGACCTTTCTCTGGCCAGCCCTGAGCGGAGAGGCCGAGCAAGCCTTCAGCCTCCTCCGCGTTCAGGGGAGGGCAGACTATGAGAAAGTGAAGGCGGCCATCTTGGAAGAAGAGGCCACCGCCAGGGAGAGACAGCGCCAGTACTTCCGGCAGCTCCGCTACCAGGACACAGAAGGTCCAAGAGGCATTTATGAGCAATTGCGGGAGCTCGGCTGCCGGTGGCTGAAAGTCGAAAGACGCACGAAAGACGAGATTTTGGAACTGCTAATCCTGGAGCAGTTCCTCAGCATCCTGCCGGTGGACATGCAAATTTGGGTCAGGAAATGTAAACCTGGCAGTTGCACCCAGGCGGTAACCTTGGCTGAGGACTTCCTGTTGAAGCGGAAAGAGGCCGCAAAATTGGAACCGAAGGTGGGAGGATTTAAGGACCCTGAAGCAGGGGGGCGGGTTGGACGTGTTAAAAGAGGCAAAGGGGTAGTTGCAACCATCTGTTCAAAGTCTCTCTCTTTATACAGGAGGTCCTTGACTTACAACAGTTCGCTTAGTGACCATTCAAAGTTACCATGGCCCTGAAAAGAGTGACTGATGACCATTTTTCACACTTACGAACCATTGCAGCTTCCCCACGGTCACGTGATTTGCATTCGGATGCTTGACTCACATTTATGACGGTTGCAGTGTCCCGGGATCATGTGATCCCCTTTTGCGACCTTCTGACAAGCAAAAGTCAATGGGAAAATCAGATTCACTTAACAACTGGGTTACTAACTTAACAACTGCAGTGATTCACTTGGTGGCAAGAAAAGTCATAAAATGAGCCGAAACTCACTGAACAAATTTCTCACTTAGCAACATAAATTTGGGCTCAGCTGTGGTTCGTAAGTTGAGGACTACCTGTATCAACTTTGGCAACTTTAAGACTTCAACATCCCGGGGTCTGCCATCTTGTCAATTTTGACCAAATATTTTCTGTATGAGTAGTCCTTGACTTATGACCATATAGCGTCTATGCATCGCGATCATAAGTCTAACATGATTTTATTATCTTTTTTGCAGTGGTTGCTAAGTGAACACTGCAGTCGTTATATGAACCAATGATTCACTTATCGATGTAGATTTGCTCAAAACTGGAAATATGTACCCCTTTTCAGCAGAACCATCATAAAACGCAGCCAGCTGACAGTGGGACACTGCGAACGGCGATAAATGTTTAGTTCACGTGACTTCAGAGGAGGTTGACCATTGGAACTTTAAGTAGCTCCAAGGTAGGTCCATCATAACTTCAACCGATTGCTAAGCGACTGGTCGTAAGTCCAGGACTACCTGTAGACACTGATGATTCCTAGACTGATTATTCTTTTCATTCCTCCTAAATGGAAAAAGCCCACTGATCTCTGGATATCAGCCTCCTCCCTACGTTCAAGCCCTCTTCTCAATTAATTCTCTCCGGGTGCTCTTTCAGGTGCCACCTACAGAGGAGGCTGTGGAACCTTCTGAGACAGGACAAACTCTGGATGGCTGGGCTGCCCAGCTCAGCAGAGACACCAAGGAAGGCGAGCGCAAGGAGGCAACATGGCTATGTAAGGTTCTGTGTTCCTTAGAAGAGTCCATTCCAGTTTCTTTTCTTCTGTTGCAGCCAATAACACAAAGATTTTGGACTAGGGTCTTCATCAAACGCCAGCAGTGGGATGCTAAACTTTACTCTTAAAGATCTACTGCCAAGCCTGTTGACTTTGGTAATGTTTTTAAAAATGTACTTCAGGGTTCTGAAGTAAAGGAGAGGTGCTCATTTCAAACGAAACTTTTAAAAATCCAAATATCTTTTTGAAAGATGCAAGCTGCTTTAGATGAAGAGTACATAGTGCAGTGATGGCTAATCTTTTTGCCGTCGCGTGCCAAAAGTGAGGAGAACACAGGGTGTGTGCCCACACCCATAATTCAATGAGCCCCGCGCATGCGCGTGGTACCCCACCCATGCTCCGCCCACTTTTGGCCCGTGATGGCATGGTGGACCTGGTAGGCCCGTTTTTCAGCCTCCACCAGCTCCAGATGTCAGGCTTCGTTGTTATTTCCAAATAAATGAATTTCCAAACGCCCGATCTTTGAGGAAATTTTTCTCTTTATTGAGCATAACGAACTGAACCTGACTCAATGCGCAGTTAGCACTGAGCTTTGCCCCCCACCCCAAAACCCCTCTTTCCGGTTCCCAATTCTCTGCGTCTCATTGGCCATCTTCCAAGCCACTCTTCTCATCCCATCTCCGTCAGTTCACAGGAATGTCACCCCTCCCATCCCATCTCCGTGGAGACAGTTCTTCAGGGGAATTAAGTAGGTGAAAGTTCAAGCCTCTCCTCTCCTTCCTTATGGCAGCTTGGAAGCTGACACCAGAGGCATTCTAGGAACCTGGGGAGGGCGAAAGCCGCCTTTCCCACTCCCTGGAGGCCCTCTGGATGCTGGAAATGTCTCATTTCCCAACTTCCGGTGGGACCGGAAAGCCTGAAAATCAGATGGCCGGCACGTGCATGCACACTGGACCTGAGCTAGGACAATGCTCGCGTGTCCACAGATATGTCTCCACGTGCCACCTGTGGCACACGTGCCATAGGTTCACCATCACGGACATAGTGGCTTTTAAAACAGGCTCTACTTTATTGTAAGGCTACATTAGCAGAATCTTGCAAGTCTAAAAGTACAGGTAATCCTCGATTTACAACAGTTTGTTTAGTGACCGTTCAAAGTTACAATAGTACTGCCTCCCATGGCTGACTCCCTTCATGACCAATCAGATTTAAGCAAAAACAAGGAACATTCACTTCAAGCATAGGTTGGTATGCAGCTGCATTCTTCTCCCAACTGGGTGACCTTGAAGCATTGTCTTGGTGAGATACAGAAGTTACTTTCGCTTTCCCCCAAGCAGTCCCCTTCCCATCCACCCTCCCCAGAATTCATGGCAGACTCTCATTGCATACCCACTGCTTTGAGTTGTTCTATGCTCTGGCTGGTGTAAGCGTTGATGGTATCCTGTCACCATGTTCTTTGACAGTCTGGTTGCCTTTTACCGCTAACTCTTCCAAACATCATTGCTTTCTCCGGTAAATTCCTCTGCGTGACGTAGCCAAAGTAAGTAATATGCAGTTTTGTGATTTTGCCTTCTAGATCCTGGATAAGAATCTCCGTTTTCTTTCTGCAGGTGATGAGCAGGTGTGGGGGAAAGAAATGAACTCCATTCATCCCAAAGGACAAGAACAAACGGATCCCAAGGATGTTTCTCTGGAAACAAACAAGGATTTCCAATACTGTAAGAACGGTGCAGTGTTGGAAAGTCCGAGCGAAAGAGGGAATGTGCCAGCAATGGGTCCTGAGAAGGGGGTGGACCTGACTATTTTCTGCACTGATGATCTGGGCCGTGCTCCAGAACAGCAGAAATTCTTGGGTGACCAGGTGCAGCACACCAAATCAGACCACAGAGGGAACTTTGGACAAAGCTCGGATCTTCTCCCGCATCAAAGTACAGATACGGCTGGGAAATCGTATCTGTCTTTACAGGGTGGTAACAACTTGGTGTCAAACCAGGCCCTTATAACCCAGTCGGGAGTTTACACGAGTCCAGGAAGCATGAAATGCTCCCCTTCTGATCAACGCTTCAACTCTGCTTCAAGTTTCAAGGAGCATTTGAGTACCCCTAACGGAGAGTCTTCGTTTATCTGCTGTTATTGTGGAAGAAACTTCGGATCCAGTTCAGTCTTACGGGAGCATCTCCGAGCGCACACGGGAGAGAGGCCGTACCGATGCCTGGACTGCGGAAAGGGTTTCAACCAGAAGCATTATTTGACCATCCACGAGAGGCTGCACAGCGGAGAGAAACCCTACCAATGCATTCACTGTGGAAAAAGCTTTCCGGAGAGATCCCGGCTTCTCATCCACGAGCGGATCCACACGGGCGAGAATCCCTTCGTTTGCTCCGAGTGCGGAAAGGGCTTCAACCAGAAGGGGAATCTCATGACCCACATGAGGCTGCACACGGGAGAGAAACCATACAAGTGTGCTCTTTGCGAGAGGCGGTTCAGCCAAAAGGCAGGCCTCAGCTCCCACGAGAAAACCCACATAGGTCTGAAAAGAACATTTTGATACAGGCCGCTGGGCTGGTGCCTCGAGTGGATGAAACTTGTTTTAGAGGAAAATCACAAACCTCATAATCGAAGGGAACCTTCAGAATTGCAGCGAGGTATCTAGGAAAATGTCATTCCAAACCCGTGTTTCTCAACCATGGCAACTTTAAGATGTTTGGACAATTCCCCAGCCAGCATGGCCATTGCTAAAGATTACTAACAGTTGATGTCCAGATATCTTAAAGTTGCTACCATTGAGATATACTGCTGGAGAAACTTAGACTGTGCAGCTGTCATGCCCCCATCGGAGCCTGAATCTGTGGAGGAGGATGAGCGGAGCTAAAGCTGATGGAGATCAAGGGGGCGGCTTCTTGGCATGTGGGGAGGAGCAGGCCGAGGCAGCCCAGGGCCTCTCAGGATTGGGACGGCTTGTTAGCAAGGAGGAACCGGGGGCAGGATGACCGAGAGGGTAAGCAGTAGACATGAGAAACAACAGAGCTCAGGCGATGAGCAAGGATCACCCCCTCCTGATCCCCAAGCACGGAGAGTGGAGAGGAGGCGGGAACAGCACAGGCCAACTGATGACTTGGGAGGAGAGCTCCCCGCCCCTCTTCACAAGGCACACCTGGGGACTGAGATTTAAGGAGATGCTGTGGGGAAGAGACATTTGTCGGGAACAAATGCTGAATTGGTAGAGTTTGATGTGCTGGTATAGACATTTAGAGTTTGCAGGACTGCTCGCTTCTTCCTTACTTGTGGACTCATTGCTTTCTTCCTGACTTTGTGGACTCAGGACCTTGTTCCTGAATTTGTGGACTCCTTGTTTGTTTCTTGTTTCGTGGACTCATTTCCCTGTTCCTTTGTTTTGCTGGACTGGGTGCAGCTAGAGGCTGCGATGTGCGAGTATGTGTGTGTGCTTTGCCCTGGGACTTGCCAAGAACCTGGGAGTGTTTGAGGGAAAATTTGGAGCATTAAAGGGGAGTTTGAACTCTCAGCTGGCTGGGTGACCTTCGTGTCTTGTCCCGGGTCATCACAGCAGCACCCTTTTTCTCTGTAAATGGAAGTTGCACTACCTGCACACAGATGTGGAGACATCTGGGAGCAGCTTCCAAAGCAGCTTTGTGCAAAGCTAGGAGAGATTTGTGGCTGCCTTTAAAAAGACAGTTTAGTGCAGGGATCCCCAACCCCAGGGCTGCGGCCTGTTTAAAACTGGGCCACGGGCAAATTGGGCAAGCATGCGCACACAAAGCTCTGCTCGCGTGAGCAGAGGGCGCTTGTTCTCATGCATGAAGCTCCACTCGCGCAAATGGAGCTTCACGTGCCAGTGACTTCTCGTGCTTTGCGTGTGAGCGCTCTCCGCTCAAGCACCCTCTGCTTGTACGAGTAGATCTTCGCACACAAGTGCAAGAGCCTGCCATTTGTGTGAGTGGAGCTTCGTGTGTAAGCACCCATTGCTCGTTTAGAGCTTCATGTGCGAGCACCCTTTGCTCACTTGTAGCTTCATGCACGAGCACAACTGCTCTCCGCTCCCACGCAAAGCTTCATTTGCACATGGAGGGCATGTGCACCATTCACACAAATTGAGCTGTGTGCGCCCACACCTGCCACACACCTGCCCCCCCCACACACTCAAGTCTGGGCCTCCAGGCTGGAAAGGTTGGAGGCCACTGTTATAGTGCATTCTGAAGCATCTCTTTCTAAAGATTGTGTGTGTGTGTGTGTGTGTGTGTGTGTGTGTGTGTGTGTGTGTACAAGTCAGCCCTTGACTTCTGATTACATTTCCTGGAGAATGGTAGTGGCAAACCACTTTTATATTGCAATAAAAAATAATTTTGATAGTTGAAATCACCCAGAATTGAGATTGTCTTGAGGAAGCCTCTATTTTTAAATAACATGATAATCGTGATTGATGATGATGACAATGTTATTACTGTCAGGGTTCCAAGGAACACACCCAACAAAATAAAGCTCCGAGGCCTGAGGTTCCTCAAAGTTCCCATTTATTAGAGATGTCATGTTGGCACATCTGGGAAAACCCGAATCTGAAAACTTCCAGGATTTCCACACCCAGCTGACAGTTCACAGCCCTTCCCCACACCCACAAGTTCATCACATTGTGGCGAGGAGCCAAGGTGGCGCAGTGGTTAGAGTGCTGTGCTGCAGCTACTTCAGCTGACTGCTAGTTCAGCAGATCAAATCTCACCGGCTCAAGATTGACGCAGCCTTCCATCCTTCCGAGGTGGGTAAAATGAGGATCCAGATTGTTGGGGGCAATATGCTATTTAGTATACTGTCTTTGGTGTAAGCCGCCCAGAGTCCTCGGAGAGTGGGCGGCATAGAAATATGATTAATAAAATAAATAATAAACATTGCCTAATTAACTCTTCACACTCCACCGGATACAATCTTCAGGCAGTCTCCATCAGATGCAGGCAAAAGTCCTTGAATACGGAATGTTGTTATGACTCACTTTCTACCGCTCCAACAACAATCCCCCTCCCAACTTCCCCAGCTAAAATATGTGGCAGTTTAGAAGCAAAAAGAAAAGTGTCTTCCAAAACTGACAATTTCCAGTGGTGCAAATGTGAGCGTTGGTATCAGCCTGCCTTAAGGCAAAACCCAGATAAGATTTTCCTCCAGGTTGAGTGGTGACCTTTTGGTTGAAGCATTTTCCTAGCATGTTGGTTCCCAAATAAGAGTTACACAGTAGCTATTTCCGATCATCTATCTAGATTTATGTATTTCCCTCATTGAAAAATTACTTTTTTCATTATATATTAAAAAATCAGATAATTTTGTAATTACCCTGATGTCTTGCCTTTCTTTTAGTGCACCCATAGCTACCAATCAGTTCATTCGCTTTTATGGTTAGGGACATTATCCAAAGTCAGGGGGGAAAAAGGAAACATTCAGTTTTATTTTGTACAGCTTTTAGCCATAAATAAAACAGCAACAAAAGGAAAAGACAGAGTCAAAATAAAGAAAAAGAGATAAACCTATAGAACAATCCATTTTAAATCTCATTTCCTGCTAAAACAAAACTTTGCAACATTGAGACTCTAGAAAGAGTGCAGAGAAGAGCAACAAGGATGATTAGGCGACTGGAGGCTAAAACATATGAAGAATGGTTGCAGGAACTGGGTATGTCTAGTTTAATGAAAAGAAGGACTAGGGGAGACATGATAGCAGTCTTCCAATATTTGAGGGGCTGCCACAAACAAGAGGGAGTCAAGCTATTCTCCAAAGGACCTGAGGGCAGAACAAGAAGCAATGGATGGAAACTAATCAAGGAGAGAAGCAACTTAGAACTAAGGAGAAATTTCCTGACAGTTAGAACAATTAATGAGTGGAATAACTTGCCTCCAGAAGTTGTGAATGCTCCAACACTGGAAGTTTTTAAGAAGAGATTGGACAACCATTTGTTTATTTATTTATTAATTAATTTATTTATTAATCAAATTTCTATACCGCCCTACTCCCGGAGGACTCAGGGCGGTGAACAGCCAAGATAAAATACAGATAATACAAATATTAAAAGTCCCTTAAAATTATTAAATATTTTGGCCGAAACACAGATTAAAACACCCAATTTATAAAATCAAACGAATTAAAAATTTAAAAGAGGAGAGTTAGGCCAGGCCAGCCTGCTGAAATAAAAAAGTTTTGAGAGCACGACGAAACATGCGCAGATCCGGGATCCTCCGTATCTCGGGGGGGGGGGGAGTTCGTTCCAGATGGTAGGTGCCCCCACAGAGAAGGCTCTCCCCCTGGGGACCGCCAGTCGACACTGTTTGGCCGACGGCACCCTGAGAAGCCCCTCTCTATGGGAGCGTACTGGTCAGTGAGAGGCTATTGGTAGCAGAAGGCGGTCTCGTAAATACCCCGGTCCGATGCCATGGAGCCCTCTAAAGGTGGTAACCAAAACCTTGAAGCGCACCCGGAAGACCACCGGGAGCCAGTGCAACTCGCACAGGAGGGGGGGTCACATGGGAGCGCCATGCCGCTCCCATAACCACCCGTGCAGCCGCGTTCTGGACCAGCTGGAGCCTCCGGGTGCTCCTCAAGGGGAGCCCCATGTAGAGAGCATTGCAGTAGTCCAGGCGGGAAGTAGCGAGGGCATGAGTGACTGTATTTAACGAGTCCCGATCCAGAAAGGGACGCAACTGGCGAATCAGGTGGACCTGATAAAAATGGTATATAGAGTTTCCTGCTTAAGCAGCGGGTTGGACTAGAAGACCTCTGAGGTCCCTTCCAACTGTTATTCTGTGCTGTTCATAACATTGTAGATGACATAAAACACCAGCAAGCAGAAATCAATTCAGAAACTCTCCGAATCTCCAGGGCTTGCAGCTAGAAGTGGTAAAATAAGATTTCGATCTACCGTCATACCAAACCTGTGATGGAAAAAACATTGAGTCTGCCTCTTGTGCGCAGAGACAATCAACCACGGGGAATTTGCGGTATATATCAGGAGGCACTGGTTGCATTTGCATAGCACCAGAGGTTGCTGGGAGAGCAAGTAGCTGCTCCCCATGAGCTGCAAAGGACTGGGTCTTCATTCAGTGGATCAAGCTAGCGATCTACAGATTGATCTAGAGCTCTGTTATCAGCTACAGAGGCCTTCAGGAAAGCCTTGCTAGCTACAGAAGAAATGGGCCAAGGGGTGTTAGGCCTGGCTGCCACTACATCCCCACCCTAGCTTAATTTTTACCCATGCACCCTGTGTTGTGACCTAGGCTTCTTAAGTCATTAAAACACGTGAGTGGTCCTAAAAAGCAATTTTATTGCAACAGCTGTGAATTACATTCATTCACAGCTGAATTCCAATTAGTTGCAAAAAGCCCTTCGGGATAATCACCAACCTTTATTTTCCTTTACACTCTGCCAAAAACCTACTTGGCAAAGCCACACAGATTCCAGATTCAAGCAGAGATACTGACTAGGAACAGAATTTGTCAGATGTAAATGCCTTATTCTCCAATGTGTAAATAATGTATTATATGGAACATCAGAGGTTAACTTATTCTTTGGACTTTAATGTATTCATAACTTACCACTCCCATTCCTAGCTCCACCCTTTGTATATATAAGGAGCCACCCTCACCATTCTAACTGCTTCTACCTTGAATATTCGGTGAATATAGAATGCCTATCATAATTAAAAAGAAATATATTTAAAGCTCTAACTCCTATTATCTTTATTGAGTCTGATCCTGAAAATATTGCAACAAGCTGGTAGCAGAGGATGGTTTAATTGACTCAATAAGTAATTAAAAATGTCCAAGAAAGATAGGCCCAACACCAGGGCCTACAGCAAAGAAATAGAAACTGATCAAGAGATGATCAACGAATCCACCAATGCGATTTCGAGAGAATCCGAAGAATACACCACTGAAGAAGAAGAACTAATGAGTGAAAATAATGACCAGAAAGAAATCGAAATAGAAAATAACGAACTCAGGTCAGAGATATTAAAGATACTAAAAAGCCAAAAGAATGATGAAAGTCTCATCGCGGACCTCCAGGAGATGCTGAAGAACAGCGGAGCAGCGAGAGAGAAAAACGTCATTAAAGAAAAACCCAAAGATCAAAAAACCGTAAGTGAGATGACTACTGAGAAAATAGTTGTTAAAAAGAAAAGATGTGATCCCGCGCGAAATTTTGAATGGCAGCCATCTTGGTTTCAACGAACTTCAAAAGAGAATGGAGCAGAGCCAATCAAAACGCTCAGTTCAAAATTTCTGGCGCGAAAAACACTATCAGACGAAGAAAGTGAGAAAGAAGTCTCAAACTCTTCAGATGATCCAAAATCAGAAAGTGAAGACGATTTAACAAAATCTCAAGTAAAATCAGCAATGAAAACACTTTTTGCTGCTTTTGGGCCAAGACTGAAAATTACCAAGACATCTACGAAGAAGCAAGAAATCAAACCGGCGACTCAAGACCTGCACGCTCCCATCCTGACTTCGAAAGCGACGACGCCTGAGCCCAGAGAGCCATGCCGATTTCGCCCTACACCACAGACAAGATCGAATACCAACGCACACAAAAAGAAGAAAAGAACCGTCGCCACCACCAGAACCCCAAAAACCGAGCCAGAGACCGACTCATCTGAGAGGAGCGGATCGAGAGAGCTAAAGGGAGAGAACCTTCCACGACGCCACCAAGAAGAAATGAGCAACGCGCATGTGCGAAACTACGTAGACGACCCAGAAGGACTTGAACTGGCCAGAGAACCGCGCAGACTCATTTGCAAGCATCCCAATGCCGTTCTGTAATTTCCTGCACTTGAGAGATCACGGACTGCCCCAGGTTGTAAGTAATGGACAGAATAATGTAGGTAACTTACCCAGTGACTTCCCAAAACTTAGAATTGATGGCATTAATTTACAAGAGTGGTATCAACAGCTTCAGTTATTTTCATGAAAGAAAATTTACTATTCTTTATAACTAGCCCTCCAAGAAGACCTTGGACTTTAAAAATAGATTGTTTACATCATAGAGCATTTTTCATAATAATATCTAGCGTGTCTCCTGCAATGTATCATAGCATCAAACCAAACCTAACTGTATCAGAAATAATTCAATGCATGTTTAATCTATTTCACAGCGATAGCGTAGCTACAACCACAAGAATGTCTAAGGATTTCTTTTCCTCTAGAGTAAAACCAGGGGTTTCTATAAGTGAGCATTTGATAAATCTAAACAAAATAAGAGCTGAGCTACAATTGAGGGGAAGTGATTTCAGATCAAACAATGAAAAGTGTTATTATCAATTCACTTGATCCATCATGGGATAGCTTTATGTCACACTTAGATACCATTAATTTGGGATATTTATCCATAGAAAGTCTATCTAACAAATTGATAGCAGAAGACAATTCAAGAAAAAATCGATCCAGTAACCAAACAGACCACAAACCTTTTAGGAAAGTAGTCTTTCAAGATAAACATAATGAGGCCTTTAGATGCTACAATTGTGGATCCAGGGAACATAGTAGAAGAGACTGTCCCAAAGTCTCAAGAGAGAGACATAGGCCAGAATATAGGAGCAAATATAATTACAGACAATCTTCCACAGATAGACACAAATTACAAAGAAGGTAGAGGGGGTAGAGAAAATTCAAAAGAGAGGAAATCTGGGTCACTGAATGGGCTAAATAAACAAGACAGCACCAGAACACAGCAGGATGAGAATAACAATTGGCTTATTGATTCTGGTGCAACAAATCACACCACCAACAACAAAAGTATATTATCTTCATTTATAGAATATAAGTTTGTGATAAAGGTAGCTAATCAAGAAAAGGTTCAAGTACTAGGCAAAGGAAATGTGACCTTGCCTGGTCTAGGGAAATAGAGGGGGTATTATTAATCCCAGAAATACCTCACAACATACTAAGTGCCATAAAATTAAGCAGAGAATCTGATATCAATATAGTTTTCTCAAAAGGGAAAGCAACTATAGAAAAGGACAAAACAAATGTAGGTACTGTAATGATAAAAGGGTCTACCCTATCTGATAACTAAAGAAAGATGTTTACATAACATTGATTCAAATATGGAAGATTGTATTGAAGCAGATGATGAAAATGTCAGTAACAGTGACAATGATGAGTGTAGAATAACTCATGATCACAAAAATACATACAAGGAAAAGAAACCAAAAATAGGTAAACCAATTCATGATGAGTTGCTCACATCTTACACAGGAAGTTAGGACATGCAAGCTTTCCTGTAGTACAAAAAATGACTGAACACGCAGAAGGTGTCAAAATAAAAAATGTGAAAATTATTTGGAAT